TATATATATACAGTAAATATTTATGGAGTGCACAAAGTAATAAGTATACAGCAATCTTATTGTATAAACAAAGTACTGAACATGTGTGGAAAAGTGATTCTCTTACTGTATTTGATTTTAGAGAACAAATGAGATGTGTTTAAATGTTAAGTAAGGGTTGGGGAGACAGTTTAGCAGGTGAAATTGCTTGCTGTCTAAGCCTGTTGAACCAAATTCTAATCTTAGAACCTGAGTAAAACACTGGATAGGTTAGCACACGTCTGTAATCCCAGAATTCCTGAAAGCGAGATGGGGCACAGAGACAGGAGAATCTGCTGGACGCCTGTGGGCCAGCTGGTCTGGAGTACTTGACAAAGCAGCAGAAACAGGGATCTTGCCTCTAAACAAGGTGGAAGGAGAGAACCAACTCATGAAAAGTTATCTTCTGATCCTGGCTTGCACGTTGCCTGCATTCACAGAAACACACTAAAGTTAAAAATTATAAATGTTAAATAACAATGCAATATAGTATATTCATTTTATTTATGTTCATATATATGTGTGTGTGTATATATATATATATGTTTTTTTAAATTTATTCACTGATTTATGCTTACCCTGCTTTCAGAAAGGACTTTAAGAGTCTGACTGCATATGATTAAGGGCTAAGAATATGATGTTAAATCAGAGAAGAAAGCTATGACTTTGGGTTGCTATGATCACAGGGATATTTAAAGGAATCTGGATAATCAAAGAAGAGATGATTCTTCCTGTTAAGGGGAATGAGGACAGTAGGAAGTAAGCAAGGGGTGTTTAGGACTCTGTGGGTGAATTAGATTGACTGGCCTGGAAGGTTTAGTAGAAGGATGGTGGCTCACAGGATTATAAAAATAACGGTAGTGGGGAACCATAGGAAATTTTGGAGATGGTATTGACTTTATTCATTGTTCAGTATTTATAGATAAGTTCCATGATCAAACTATTTTGACTAGATTAACTGCTTCAAAGTTTTAAAGGTTAGGGAGAGATTAGATTTAGGAGGACAAGTTAGAATATAATTAAAACAATTTAGGCATGAAGCATAACAAAATTTATTTAGTGATAGGGAATGGAGGAGGGGAAAGTCCTGAAAAGGAGTGTTTGAAATGGGAATCAATAATTAATAAGATTTGGTACAAAGTTCTTTAATTACTGAAGTCAACACATCTTTTTTAAAAAAGTTAACTCCATTCATTTACTTATTTATGTGTGTTTGTATGTAGGCATGTGTGTGGAGGTCAGAAGACAACTTAAGGCCCTGGGGTTTGAATTGAGGTCATCAGGTTTGATGGCAAATGTCTTTACCTGCTGAGCTATGTCACTGGCCCAATATCTCTTTTTAATTGCTAAGATTATAAAAAAAATTTTTTTTTTTCCTTTTTTTTGTCTTTTTTGAGACGGGGTCTCCCTGTAGCCTCAGCTGGTCTGGAACTCACTATGTAGACCAGGCTGGCCTCAAACTCACAGAGATCCACCCATCTCTGCCTCCCAAGTGCTGGGATTAAAGGCGTGCAGCATCACGCCCGGCCTAAAGTTTTTATTTCAGTAGTATCAAACTATACAAAATTTGATACCATAACACCGTTTCTTTTTCCTTATTTAAAACTGTTGAATTTTAAGTTCCCAAACATTTATTCAAAAATTTTAAAGTCTTAGAACATATATAAGCATGTCTCCTTTTCCTATTTTTTAAGTAATTCTAATCAGTTCCAACCATAGGGAGTTTGGTCAAGCATCTGATAGAACTGTTTATTACTTTAGCATATTTAATCGAGAATCTATCCTTATTAACAGACACAACACTGTCAACTTGGAGTAGTTGTAAATAGTTACTTCTAAGACTTAGTTACTCTAAGATCATATCTATTCTAAAGAAGAACCTCTATTTATTCTTCTCAAGATTTCAAGGGGCTATTAGGATTCCCAAAAATGTCATAACCACTTTAGAACTCCATTTCCGTATAGTAATTAAATTAGTATCAAAAGTCATTGCTTTCTTATTATCATATGTGGCTATTGCATTTTTCTCCCCTGGTTGCCTTTGCTGTGTAACAAATAGCCCCCAAACCTAGTGTCATTAAATAAGTCCTACTGTAAGTCAGGAGTTAGAGGGTAAATGGGGATGTCTATCTGCTTCAGTGTCTGGGGGCTCATCTGGAGGGCTTAAGTAGCTAGATATGGGATGGCTTGGCTGGGTTTAGGCTGTTCGATTCCCTGGTTCTTTTTTGAGTGGCATTTGATAGGCTGTAGTGTCCAGATGGCTTTCTTACATGTTTGGAACTTGGGCTAGGATGACTAGAATTGATGAGAGCTGGCTGGATGTCTTTTCCATGCTGTGTGGCCAGATTCTAACATGGGAGTCTCAGAGTAGTCAAAATTCTTGTGTGGCACTGGCTTTCCCTAGAGTGAGGTTCCAGAGCCCTATGTAGAAGTTACTTCATGATCTTGCTGGGGAAGTCATAGACCTCACCTTACATTTTATTCTGTTGTTTATACCGGGGAGAAGACATAATAGTATAAATACCAGAAGTTTTTTTTCTGTTTATTTGGGTTAAAAGAGAGTTAAAACACATTTCCTGCCCTTGGAATTCATAATCTAGTAGGAGGATTAATAAGTGCTGTATTTCATTAATGAAATGAAAAATGCTGTAGCATAAGAGGCTCAGAGGAAGCCATTGTTATGGGAGATGCTGGGATGTCAGGTAGACTTGAAGACCGAGCAGGCCTTTACTAAGTGAGTGAAAAGTAGGCTAGGTTTAAAAAGGAGGTCTCTTAAAGCAGCATTTGGGAGGCAGAGACAGGAGTGTCTTGAGTTTGAGGCCAGCTTGGGGCTACATAGTGATGCCCCCCCCACTTCGTCTTCTTGCCAAAATGAGGGGAACATAGTTCTAAGTATGAAGACATTATACAATGGGACACATCTGGTAAGTGGTGAGCAATATCTATGCTCTTTATTAATGCTAGAACTGGACAGTGGGTAACAGTAACAGGAGTAGGTCTAAATTGGTTCATTGGGAGGCAGAGGCAGGCTGATCTCTGAGTTCAAGGCCAAGGCCAGCCTGGTCTACATAGTGAGTTCCAGGTCAGCTGGGGCTATAGGGAAACCCTGTCTTTTAAAAAAAAAACAAAAGAATGAATACATCTTTAGTTTTGATTTAACAAAACATTAAGATTTTATTTGAATAGTCATGAATTTTTAGCTTATCGTTTATTTAGATCATTGGCTTTGAACTGTGATTTCCTTACTCTTCTAGAGACTTTGGATTATAGAACTGAATTTTTTTAAACAATTATATATTGATTTTTCTGTGTTTATAACATTCCTAGTGGCAAAATTGCTGACATTTATGTTTTTTTTGTTTTTGGAATTTATGTTTTTTTTTGTTTTTTTTTTTTTTTTGGTTTTTTTTTTTTTTTTTTTTTGGTCTTTTTGAGACAGGGTCTCCCTGTAGTCCCAGCTGTCCTGGAACTCATTATGTAGACCAGGCTGGTCTTGAACTCACAGAGATCCACCTGCCTCTGCCTGGGATTAAAGGTGTGGGCCTCTATGCAGCCTGACATTTACATCCATTTTCTATCTTGTGTCTTTAAAGGCTTCAGCATATATGATTGAAGAAGAACTAAAAGAGAAACAAAGAAGAAAACAAGAATCTTTGAAACATTTTCAGAGACAAGTCAAACACCGAGTAAATCAACAAGTTAAGCTGAGGAAAAAGCAACAGCTTCAGAGATCTTACAAAGCAGTAAGTTCACAAGGGAGGCAGAGTAAAGCCTGAATGGAAAACCTGTGCATTATGAGATAAGCTACTAGGCAGTAACAGAATCACTTTTCTTCTGTGATGTGTAAGATCCCATTTTGTAGTGAGCACAGTCAATTTTTATGTAGAAAAACTGTTTTTATTCATGTGTTGTTCTAACTCACTTTTCTTTCCTTTCACTAAAATTGAAAAGAATGTAAAGATTTTTGATTCAGACTTGAGTTTGAATTCTATTTTTGTTACCTACTTAGTGATGTGACCTTGGATTAATTACTTAGCTTTTCTGATTGTATAATAGTTTCCTTATCGCTAAAATAGGGATAATGCTAGGTGTGGTGCCTCATACCTTTAATCTCAGTATTTGTGTGATATTTTGAATTGAGAATCTGTGGTTTCTCATTGGCTGGGACTGAAGAATCAGCTGTGATTAAGAGACCAGGACCACTGAAGTGAAACTTTTGCTTTACTGGAGCAATTGATGCTGGTTAGCTGGGGTTGAAAGATCAGCTGTAGAGGCAAGTAGATCTCTCTGAGTTGGAGCCAGTCTAGTCTACATAGGGAATTCCAAGCTGGCTGGGCCTACAGGGACACCCTGTCACACACACACAAAAAGATCAGCTGTGAGTAAGAGACCATCATCATGAAGGTGAAATCTGCAAAGTATTTCCAGAGGGATTTGAGTCTGTTATGGTGGTAGGATAGGAGATGGCCTGATTAGAAAGAGGAGCAGTCACATCTTCAAGCAGGCACAGGAAGCAGGTTACCTGGGGGGATCTGGCAAGGCTGAAGAACTTTCAAAGCCCACCCTCATTGATGTGCATCCTCTGGCATAGCCACACCTCCTAAAGCTTCCCAAAACAGGACCACCAATTGGGGACAAAATATCCAAATACTTGGAGCCTATGGTGGACATTCTCATTCAAACTATCACATTCTACTCCCTGGCATCCATAGGCTCATAACTATATAAAATGCATTTAGTCTCCCTTTGAAAGTCCCCATAGTCTTTACCAATCTCAATACTATTCAGAAGTCCAGAGTTCAAAGTCTCTTCTGAGACTCAAGGCACCCTCTTAACTTTGTAAGCCCCCATAAAATCAAAAGACAGATTACATACTTCTAACATACAATGGAACTGAATACACTTCTCATTCCAAAAGGGAGGAATGGGGCCATACTGAGGAACTACTGGACCAAACCAAGACCAAAACCCAACAGGGCAAACACTAAATCTAGTAACTCCATGTCCGACTTCTGGCACTTTACTTCCAAAGGGCTTAAGATGGCTCAATGACTCTGGCTTTGTTGTGTGTAACATACATCTCTTTCTTGGGCTGATACCACTCCCTGTTTACAGCTCTCCTTGACAGATGTCTCATGGCTCTAGCATTTCCAACATCTTCTTGGGGTTTCTTTTCACTGCCAATGAGGATTCACCTTCACAGCTTTATGCAGTGACCTGTTAGGGCCTTCTTTATGCAGGGATATTCCTGCTGCATACTGCCTGGCCTTATGGGCTTGCTGAAACTGCAGAGGAGGAACCGATAACCTCTTCACTCATCTTTCGTAAGCCAGCACCACACGAGTGACACTGCCAAGTTCGGCTACAAGCCTGGGATGGACCCTGGCCTGCTTCATCCACATTTCCAGATTTTCCATACCTTGGTTTTCTAGGAGCAGAAAATTCCTCCCACATTTTTTTTCACATATTGGTGACTTAGCTGGGTGTGGTTGTGCCCTGAAGGTACTCTTTCCATTGTTTTAAGTGCAAAAGTAGGCTTCTCCTTACTCTCTCTTATCAAAGAGCTAAAGAGCTCTCCTTCAGCACTTGGTTCTAACATACATCTTCTAGTGCTTTTTAAAAATCCGAACTGTACATTTTGCATTTCTTTCTGCCCCACTTGGCTGTTTTTCATTATAGATCACTATAATAGTCACCCTTAATAACCATGCTTCCAATTCAACCTTAGACTGTCTTGAAATTTCCTTCTCCAAAGAAATTAGTCTGTTACTTTTCAACTTAGTCTAAAAGGCCAACTTTTAGACTGTAGGTAGACTTCAGCCAGACTCTGCCAAAATATCCCAGTTGCTGCTTAAGTCCTTATTTCCCTCTGGAGCTACATTGTTCTCAGCACTGCTTTCTTCCAGGTTCCTACTAGAATGGCCCATTAAGCTCTGCTTACAGCAGTCAACCAGTTTTCTAGCCCAAACTTCCAAAGCCTTCCCACATTCCTCTAAAAACCCACATAGTCATGCTCTTCACAGTCAATACTCCACTCCTGGTACCAACTTCTGTCTTAGTTACTTTCTATTGCTGTGATAAAAACACTGAACAAAACCAACTTGGTTAGGAAAGGGTTTATTTTATCTTTTATCTCTCAGGTCACAGTTTCACTGAAGGAAGGGCAGGAACTCAGGGCAGGAACATGGAGGCAGGAGCTGAAGCATAGACAGTGGGGATGCTACTTACTGGCTTGCTCCTCTGGCTGGTTCTCAACTTGCTTTCTTATACAACACAGGACCACTTGCCCAGGGGTGGCACTGTTACAGTGGACTGGGCCCTCCTACATCACTCAATGATCAAGAAAATGTCCCACAGACATGGCCACAGGCCAGTCCAATTGAGGCAGTTCCTCAGCTGAGGTCCCCTCTACCCAGGTGTGTCAAGTTGACAGCTAAAGCTATCCAGCACAACTTGGGAGACTGAGGCAGGAGGATTGCTTTGAGTTCTAGGTTAGCCTGGGCTACAGAATGAGACCCTGATTCAAAAACCAGTTGGGGACTGAGACATGGCTCTTTTAGAGGACCTGAGTTTGGTTCCCATCACCCATGTCACAACATCTCACAACTTTAAGTCTGGCTCCAGGGGATCCAATACCTCTGGCCTCCAAGAGTACCATCCCCCCCACCCACCACCACACAGATACACAATAAAAATAAATCTTTTTAAAAAACCCAATTTACTTGCACACACGCACACACACACGATATGCTTTATCTTACAGGAATGTCTAAGGATTAGGTGAAATAGTTTAAATTAATACATGATAGGTTCCTCATTAGTTACTTTGCCTCCTGTCTCCACCTCATGTTCCAGTTGAAAATATGGATGCTTAGAGGTGTTTGTACTAGAAGGGAATAGAGTCTCATTATCCCCTCTTTTTCCTTTGTGTAGGTGGAAAAAGAAGGCTCTATAGTCATGCAGTGTTCAGACTCAGCACAGTTAACTCCCAAAAGGACAAGTGTTTTTTCAAGCAATTTGAATGCTATTGGAAGTTCTAGGTTACCCCCTTCTCAGGTACTTGAGGATGCAGTAGAAGATGGAGAGAATCAGAATCAGTTATTCCAACAAGCCCAAGCTGTAAGTACAGATTCACTTTATTTTATGGCTGTGATTGTTCCTTTCAGTCTTTTAAAAATGTGTCATAGCTAGAATATAAATCGAGATTAAGAGTTATCATATTGAACTTTACCTTTTTTTTGGTCTTCTGTATGTATGTATGTATGTGATGTATACGTGTACATGTGTGCATGTGTGTATCTGTGGGTACATGTGCATGTGTGTACATGTGGTATCTCCCTTAGTTTCTTTCCATCTTATATATTGAGGCAGTATTTGTCATTGAACCCATTGCTCCATTCCCTCTCTCTGTTTCTGTTGGGTGGGATTATAGTTGAACCACCAGCCCACCTGGCTTTTTGTGTGTGGATCCAGACTCTGATCTTCACACTTGCACAGCAAGCTCTTTACCTGCTGAGTTACCTTCCCAGCCCTAGCTTTCCTTTTTAAAGTTTTTGTTTTTTGAGACAGGGTCTCCCTGTAGCCCACTTGACCTGGAACTTGCCATGTAGACCAGGCTGGCCTCTTTCTCACAGAGATCCACCTGAGTACTGGGATTAAAGGACCACCACCCCCAGCTCCAACTTCACTTTTTATTGCCACTTTTTTTTAGCCTTCATTAAAATGGGAACTAGTATCATAATGCTTATTTTCATTGTTTTAAAAATTGTATATTTATATATTGACTGGTGGATTGATTGATAATCTCTTGCTTTGTAGCCAGGCTGGCCCGAAACTCATAATCTTCTTGTTTCTACCTCCCAAGTGTTGGGATTTCATGCATGAGCCACCACACCTTGCCTTATTTATAAATACCTTTTTCTAATTCACATTTATTTGTTTTGGGTAAATGCTTTAAGGTTCTAAAAAAAGGTGCCAACATATTAGAATTCAAAATTTATTAGAAACAACCTTAGGTCAAAGAACATAGAATTTCCCAATTACGCTGAAATTATGTTTGTAAGTTGCTGTCTGTGACTCCATACCAAAATGATCCTTAACCTTGACGCAAAGCAGTTGAATACAGCTAAAGAGCATTTAATTGATTGTCATTTCCTTTTTCTCCTTTAATCAATCACAGTATATGTCTGTTAGTATATGTCAAGTAATACAGCAAATATTTAACATATCCAGAATATTTGGAAAACTTCAGTGTTTTTTTTCTTCTGTCTATAATATTTAAAAATTAACCACTGTGAGTAGCCTCATCCATGCCATCCAGTCAGTTCCTTTCGTGGTTACCTGAGCTTTTATTGATGTGTTTTTCAACTCTGCTTCAGTAATTGTTCTTCATTTTATTTGAAAACACATTCCTAGACAGAGTGAGCGGGAAAGAGAAAATATGATGGATTGCTTCCTGAGTATTAACTCTGTAGTTGCTCACACTTTAATTGGGCTGTAAGTATAAACAAAGTTTTGGAAGCACATGTTATCATGTTGGAATTTTGTTTTTAAATTTAATTTTCCCACTGGCATGGTAGCATGGTGGCATACACCTTTAATCCCCGGAGTCACAGGTGGATTTCTGTGAGTTCAAGGCCAGCCTGGTCTACATAGTGAGTTCCGGGCCAGCTGGAACTACAGGGAAGCCCTGTCTCAAAAAGACCAAAAAATTTTTTAAATTTTTCCTGAACTTTTTCCTGCTGTTGTTTGATTTGTAGTAATAATTTTTATAATTATTTTTGCTTCCTTTTTTAGATTATAAACAGGAACCTGACATGATGGTCCACACCTATAATCTCAGGAGTCAGAGCAGGAAAATACAAAGTTTAAGGCCATTCTGGACTACATAAAGAATCTCTTTACTAATAAAAGCAAAAAAAAGAAAACAAAAGATTTTGAAGAAATACTAAACCAGACACTGCATAAATTATAAGAGCTAGAAGAGTGAAAGGAAGTTCCAGGCTAGTCTTCATTTATCTTGTAATGAGGCTTTTGTCTGTATAAGACACAGACTCATACGTGGATTGCATGTATCAATCAGCTTTTAAGTGAGCATGTATTTGTTAAGCATTGTGAGAGGATCCTAATCATATATGAAATAAGACCCTGTATGAATTTTATATTTCCAGGCAGCTACACCCTAGCCTCTTATGCCCCAAGTCTACTAAGTAGTAAATAAAGATAGATTTGCTGGCCAGGCGTGGTGGCGCATGCCTTTATTCCCTGTACTTGGGAGGCAGAGTCAGGCAGATCTCTGTGAGTTCAAGGGCAGCCTGGTCTACATAGTGAGTTCCAGGACAGCTGGGGCTACAGGGAGACCCTGTCTCAAAAAGCACCCCCCCCAAAAAAAAAGATTTGCTGTATTTGAGCAAAAAAGTTGTGCCATGGGAATTCCAAAATTTCAAACTGCATGGAGATAGTAAGGAAAGAATTCATGCAAGAGATAGAATTGAACTGTTCATTTTGAATTGGTATGCTAAATTGAACTGATAATTCAAGAGACGTTTTGAGATAGGAAGGAACAGTGAAAAGTATAGAATCTGCAGTGAACTTGTTATATTTGGAAAAATTGATAGTTTATAAAGAAAAATATAACAGAAAAGTGAGGTTAGATAGGAAACCAGGATATAAAAAGTTATTAAAGTTTTGGGGCTGAAGCGATGGCATTTTGAAACCTCAAAGTTGGGTGCTTGGTAAGATTTTATCCAGGTACCACTAATATTTTGCACCTCACCCAATGTCTCAGAACACAGGAAACAGGTGTTTCGGGTTTTTTGTTTTGTTTTGTTTTAATGCACATGCAGGCACACAGGTTCTCTTCTACTTCGTGGCACCAAGACAGTCCCTGATTCTACTTACCCATCTATACCACCTAAACAAGTTATAACCCAGCGTGGTGGCTCATGCCTTTAGTCCTAGCACGCAGGAGGAAAAGGCAGGTGGATCTCTGTGAAGTCAAGGCCAGCCTAGTCTACATAGTGAGTTCTAACACAGCTGGGGCTAAAGGGAGACCCTGTCTCAAAAAGACAAAAAATTAATACTAATAAAAAAGTTATGTAACCTGTTCACAGTGAAGACTCACATGACTACACTCCATAACCCACAAAACAATTTTCTGTCATCTTAAAGAATAAGATTATCAGGCTGGAGAGATGGCTCAGTGGTTAAGAGCACTGGCAGTTCTTGCAGAGGACCTGGGTTCAATTCCCAGCCACCCACATGACAGCTAACAACTGTCTGTAACTCCAGTTCCAGGGGAATTGGATACCTTCTTCTGACCTCCACAGGTATTGCACAACACAGGTACACTCACATGTGCAGACAATACACTCAAGCACATAAACTAAAATAAAAAAAAAAAAAATTTAAAGTCTAAAAGTTTTTATATCTTTTCATTTTTTTCTTAAAAAAGGATCATTTACTAAAGAATGTTCAACGATTTGATTATTTTGGGCCTGCGAACTTTTGCCACAACCCTGTGACAGTAGATGCTTTTTTACTGTTTCTATTGCACCTTTCATCCACTAGATGTCATTATGAAACCATGAAATTGTTTAAGCATTAACTCCTTTATTCAGTACTGGTTGACTAAATGGTGAACACAATTTAGTTTGAATGTTAGTGAACTTTTCAGTTTGTTTTTCTTTTTTTTTTTAAGCTATAGAAAAATAGAATACTGGGGTTGGAGTTTTATGGTTCATCTTACATTGAAATATTTAAGGATGAAATGAGTTGACATCTGGAATATACTTTATAATAATGTAAGGGTCAGGTAGTATCTTAACTTTCCTGTTGCTATGATAAATACCCCAAAGCAACTTAGAGGAGAAAGGGTTTATTTTTTCCTACAGTTCCAGGGGGATGGAGTCCATGTCTCGGAAGATATGACAGCAGACAGGGAAGGCATGGTGGCAGGACTGGGAGGCTGCTGGTTACATTGCGTATGTATTCAGGAAGCAGAACATCAACAGGAAATGAGGCCAGGCTATAAAGCCTCAAGGCCCACCCCCAGTGATTCACTTCCTCCAGAGAGGCTCTGCCTCCTAAAGGTTCTCCAATTTTCCCAAACAGTACCACCATCTGGGGATCAAGCTTTCAAACTTGTCCTATGTGAGACATTTCACATTCAAACCACAACAGGTAGAGAGTTCTGGATAAAGTAAGCTTGCCCAGGAGTTAATGTTAAAGCTGGGTAATAAGTATTCTGTTTACTTCTGTATATGCTTGAATTTTAGTTTCCTTAATTATACCTTCCTTTAAAAAAAACAAACAAACAAACCACATACCTAATGCCTTGATGGATTTCTTTAAAATAGAATTTAGATTTTCAGTGTTCTTTTCAAATATGATCTCCCAAACTGAATATAATTATTGTGTGTGGCTGGGGGTGGGAGAGGATGGTGAGCTGGTTCAACTGGTAAAGGCAAATGCCACCAAGCCTGATGACTTGAGTTTAATTCTTGGGACCCAAATGGTAGAAGGAGAGAACCAATTCCCAAGTTGTCCTCTGTTTTTCATACTTGAACTGTGGCACATGTAAACACACACACATACACACACACACACACACACATAAGCACACACACATACACACGTGCACCAACTCTGGCACATATAAACACACACACATACACACACACACACACACACACACACACACACACACACACACACAAATGTAATAAAAATTTTAAAGTATGTTTGGCTAGCATCTCTCTTGCTCTGTATCCCTCCCCAACCCTTTATTTAATAATACTTAGTATTACCTCCTTGTTCAAAGGTCAAATAAAAGCAGGAACCTAAAGTAAGAAGCTAGAATTATAGAACTGGAAAAAGCTTCAAGTGGCCTCAGCCCGTTTTATTAGGACTGATATTTATCTTTAGGGATTTATTTTCTGTGGTGTCTCATGATTATTTCATTTAGGTTGCGTTTTGAAAACACCTTACCATATTTTTATCTTCATTATCTATTTATGTATAAACTATTCTGTTCACTACTATTTCCTACCAATAATGTACAAGAATTCCTCTTTCCTCAAATCCTCACCAGCATTCTGACTGGGGTGAGATGGAATCTC